ATTTCTTCTTTCAAAAACTAGGTTCTTCCCCCAGAAGAAAAAAAATGAACCCAAAAAACTAGAAGCCTCTTGGAGAAAAAAATTATCACCAGAATATTTATAAAACTAGTGAGGGAACAAAAAGAGCCCTCAAACATACATAAAACAGGCCCATTTATCTTTCTAAATACTCAATATATCATAAGCAAAGGAGGATTACAAATTGAACCAAGTTAAGCACAGCATATTTACTTCAAGACAATAAACCCTTAAAAAAATTCCTCCTGATCTCATCAGTTACACAGTGGAGGACAAAACCACAGATTGCTAAACAAGGCTAAAAATGTTTTAGTATCTATTTAGGCCTAAGACTCTTCCTTCTCATCAATAATAGAAGAGCATTCATACTGAATGCCTTGGAGAACTAAAGTCAACCACCAAGATAATTCTTTCACTCACAAGGTGCAAGGATTTCCCAATGCAATCAATGACAGTTACATATATATATATATATATGTATATACCTTTATGAAGAACTCATTCTTGAAAATATTGACACATCTAGTCTTGTCTGTGACTTCACATGACTTTTTTCCCCTCTGGTCAGATATGCTTAGCAATGAATGAGACAGAAGAAAGTGACATGACAGCATTTATACAGATATCTATACAAAGTAATCCAAATTCTCTCCATTCCCAGAATTCAGGCACACTGTAAGATGCTTTAACAGTCTTTCAAGCAGGTCAACCTTGAGTAACAAAACATTATCCTTTGCAGCATATCCAACAGATTCCAAGATTCTATTAAGTATTTGTATTTTTTCGTAATTTGTTGGATCATACCTGAATGATGATCTGAATTTCTAAATAATTACTGGAACTTAGCAGGAACAAGCCACTCTCAAGTGCTTTGGAACTTATGCTCTTCAAGTAACATTTGTCTCCTATAAAATTAACTACTCTTAATAATAACTGCACAGTTCCTACTATTACATAACAAATTAAAAGAGTTTGTTTGAAGCAAAGAATGAACTAGTGTGTCAAGTATTTATCCCAAAAAAAGAAAGCTCCTTCAGTCAGGCCTTCCACAAAACTTATTCTAGAATTGTTCCAAGAGCAGCAAATATATTAACATTTTATTTAGGCCACACAAGTGGCAACCTCCCCCTGTAGGGAGACTTCAAGAAGTCTTGTAGAAGTTCTCTCAAAATTATGTTTGGATTTAAAAAATTATTATTACTAACATATATTGTTTGGTCACTTTTTACATACTGTTTGAACATCTTAAATCCATGAAGCATCAATTTTATATCCACTAAGTGCTTCCTATTGACATCAGCTCCTTGCCTTACTCTTCAATAAGACCTGTGGGTTGTCTCCTCATACTTTACTTCTCTTCTGTGCCTACAATCATGGTAGGATATGATTCTAAAAATATTTGCCTCTTTAAAGAAAATTTTAAAAGCCATAAGTTCTTCCCCATCTTGTGAATATACTCCAGTGTAGTGCTGATTGGTTTATTCCTTCTCATAGCATTTAAAAAATACTTTAATATCCTGACAGTCTCTGAAGTCTTCACCAAAGAAAGAGAACATCCAGCACTCACAGCCCTGTGAGCAACACAAACCAGTCACCTCTGAGGTGCACCTGACACCACCTCAAACTTACACTTACTTCAGTTAAAAGTCACCTACAGTTTATTAGTTCTCTTACTGGGTATCCTTCAAATCAATGGTTACCCTAAGATAACCTGGGAGTTAAAACTATTATGGTAACTGTTCATACACGTGTGCACATGTCCAGCTGTACAGGAAAATGTTTGTCATTATCTCTACTGGCAGTGATCTCCCAGTTTGGGGCTCCTCATCTCAACCAGTCCTCTTCCCATGCCTTCCCCTTCCCCAAGCTCCTCCCCAGCTGCAGAAAACAAGGTTATTACAGAGCAAAAATCTCTAGAAATGTATGTCCTAACCACTAACATCATGTTGATTTCAATACTGGGCAGCACACAGAGTCCTTTCACAGCTGCAGAGAAAATTAAAACCACAACTGAATTCACATGAGCAGGTAACACATTTTTGTCCTGTCTCATTAATCTGTGTTCTTATTCCTAAGCCATTGCCAAGACTCTTGGTTGCCATTTTATCACCAGTAAGGACACAAGAAAAAGAGCTTTGTGATTCATTCCAGGGCAAGAAAGAGATCCTGCTGCTCAAACAGAACAGAAATAAAATGAAAAGGTGATTCGTGTATGCTGCCATCCTTGTCAGACAATTGGCATCAATAGTTCTCAAAAGCAGAAGAATTGCAAATCTGTATTGAAGTCAGGGACTCTTAGGTTCAGAATCAAAGGGATGATTGACAGAAATATGCAGCACTTTTTGCTCTTCCATGACAGACCAACGTTTAAGAGAAACACCACTCGGTTCACAGCATAGCTTTATCTTTTCATCTTCAAGTCAAAAACCACTACAGTGCCAGGTACAATAAATTCTTATACCTCAAAGCACATTAGAAAGCCAGCTGGAGCTGCTTTAAATTAGAAGTGCACCGTGCATTTTGTTCATTTTCCCTGACCACACATGAGGAAGAAACAACCACCATGGCCCCAGAAAAGATGGGGTGAGGGACAGCCCCCAGAGAAGCAGCTCCAGCCAGGCCTTGAGTAAATACTGTTACAGAACCTGAGAGTTCTGACACGAGATGGTACTGGAAGCATTTGGAACAAAGTGAGAATCTACAACCAAAAATTGTATTTAGAGGACGTAAAACAGAGCTTTGGCTTTGAACTAGGGCTTCAAGGAAAGGCAAAGGGAGGGAAGTCAGGTTGAACAGTCTGTCTCTACTCCATCAATAAATCCAAACCAGCCCAGGAATCACACTGTTCTTTGTTAACTTCAGATGATGTAGAATCAACTTCCTACACTTCAGGTTGGTTTAAGTTTGTTTGGGATTTTTTTCCTGCATCTGAAAAGTTACATTAACTAGGATTCTAGATATGTCAAAAAACCATTGCTCTCACTAACCTAAGTTCATTGCATATAATGTGCCTCAATGAAGGCACTTCAAGAGAAGTTCAGAAAAAAAAAAAAATCAAATTTTATTTGCACTCCCCACCCTCTTCAGGGCCAGCTGTACTTGTTTTTAATGATCCAAGGCTATCTATTGCTTTGCAGTTGTTCCCCTCAGAAGAACTCCTCCCATGTTGGATTATGTAAAGCTTCAGACTAAGAAAGATAGGTTTTCCAAAGCTATGTCCCAAATACAAGTAAAATAGATGACAAATGTTCTTTTTATTTTAAAAGCATACAAAAATATACCACACATTTAAATGCATTTCTCTTTTACCATACAGATTTAGACAATAAAATATGGTTAAGAAATCTTAAATTGACAAAATATGAATCAGCTGTCAAATAAGCATATGGTCAACCTGCAAGTACAAATATTTTTGTGAAGTGTCTGTATCAAAAATTAAGGAAGGCAGAAAGTAGAAACCACCTCTAACACCCTTCCCAACACCATTAGAAACAACTTAAAAGTAAGTCTTTGTATTTACTACAGATTTTTGAAGAGTCCTGTGTTTTCTTTGAATTGAAAATCTGATTCTTAACATTTGAAATTATTTTATGAAGCTGTAAAATGAACACAGATTTGCTTAACATATTTGAAGTATTCTGCTGCTCAAAATTCCCAAGCCCTTAGAGAAAACTGGTTCATGTAGCAACTGTGGCAGCTTAGCTGGCATACAAAAATCTAAGTCCACAAAAAGAGCTTCCTATTAAGTATGTGCTTGGACTGCATTTTCTCAATGAATTAATACATGTTAAGAGACAAAACAAAAAAGTTTCTTTTTTCTTGTAAGTATCTACAACCTGAAGTTCAGGAAAGATTAACCCCTCCCAGTATTTTCTGGCCCAGAACATGAAGTGAATAATGAAACTCTGAGTGCCTGTAATTTAGAATCCAGTGGTGCCAAAAAGGCCTCATACTCAAATTCTGAAATCAACATAGAAAAAAAAAAAAAAAGTAAAAGGAAAAAATTGTATGTGGAAAACCCCTTATTGCCTGACAGCTCTGGGATAAGCAAGCAGGTATGCTTTCTCCTCACCCAAAGAAAACCTAAATTCAGAAGTAGCAGCATTTTCAAGCCCTCAGCACTGAAGAGCAGCATCACCTGAGTGCTGCTGAACACACAAACAGGCAGGAGCAACAGAAAGAACTTTTAGTGTCAAACCCTTTATAACTAACTTTATTTGACAAAACAGTCATATAGAGAACATTTTGTATTAAAAAGTTTGAAAAGCAACTGAAGTGTTTTCTCCATGACAGCATAAAAAATAATTTAATCAGGAGTTTGTTTGAAGCAAAGAATGAACCAGTGTGTCAAGTATTTATCCCAAACTTCAAGCTTTCCTACATACTTCATACATTACAAGTCTTGGTTTCTTCTAATAACAGGGAAAAAGGGCAGGCCTAGCCTGTTTCAAGGTTCCACCTATTCTCTAAGCTCAGACAGTCCAACTATTTTGAACATCTCTGGATAATCATGTTCCTTAGGAGCTGGTAGACAGCAAAAGTGTGTTTACAGATTCCATAACACAAGTGGGACACCCTGGACACAGACTGTTTGGTGACCTTCAGTCCAACAGAGTCAAAAGAAATCGCTATCTGGAATAACCATAACCTGAATAACTTCCCTACCCAGAGATCCATGCTTTCTTCTGACAGTTTTCCTTAGCAGACTTTTCAGCTACAACAGCTCACACACAGTACCCACCTGACAGCAGACACAGGTTATTAACACGGGCAATATATCAGATCAACCTTTATGTCACATTCAGAAGTTTCCAGAACATATCCAGTTCTTAGCACACAACATGTATGACCCAAGAGTGAACCCAGGGAAGATACTTTGAAGTATGCATCAATTTGCATCCCTTATCTACTGGCAGTGGTGTCACAGTGACAACCATTTTGGTTAACAAATAATTCACGAGGTCTCTAAAGAAACCACTTGCCTTGGAGATCAATTCATCGTGATTGGCGAGATGGGCTCTGCAGTGGATGCAGCTGTAGGTTCGGTGACAGTTTGGCAGGTAAGCCTGGAACGTTTTTGATTTTGTCATTTTTACCATCTCTGCTGGTGGCTCCTCACTCAGCTCAGGGCTGGCACTTGAAGAATTACAACTTTGCTGAACTCGCTGACAAAAGAAACACTGGAATATGCAAGCAAAAGCCGTTGTTGTTCTGGAGTGTGTGTGGCACTTTCCACACAAATGACAGAAGAGAAACAGTCACAACCTGTAGGTGAAAAGAGCAGAACAATTAGCAGCTTACAAGACCAGAGTTAACTTGTTATTCAACAAGTCCAGCCATAAAGCAAAGCATTATTTGGAGCAAATAACTGGAGCCTGGCTGCACTACAGGCCCCTTTTTCTAAGGAACTGCACAGTTCAAGTTCCATTCAACACAGCAAAAAGCAGTTCTGTTCCACTAATGGCTTCTACTCCATCACACTTCTAATGAGGGACGAGATTGAAACAGTTCTCCATGAATCACAAGCACTTTCTACGCTGTACCAGGTGTACTCTTCTAGACATCCATGCAGAAAGTCACACTAAAAAGGTAGGGAATGAGAGGAAGCTAATTGTCTTTGAGGTTCTAGTGGTCAGTTCCAATACAGCAAGCAACAAGGAAAGCAATCTTGGAAAACACTTGTTCTGTCCAATAGTCAATGTATTTCATATATTTGCACTTTGGTTTTCAGCAAAGATCTTGCAGGATCACATCTGGCTCTAAGTCAAATACCACCCTGTGCTGCCACCCTGTTCAGAGATCCCTGTCTGCTCTTTCAAGCCCTGCAGAATTATGCCTTAAGGCAAAGGCCTTCTTGACTGGTGTCCTGATCAAAGCTAATTAGGTACTTCCTCACTGTACCAGAATAGCCTTAATGGAAACTACCAAACCCACAATCTGATACTGAAGCTAAATCCTGCACAGAGAACACCCAACATCCTCAGAGTGCACTTCAGAGCTGTTACATGTCAGAGCACGCCACAGCCTTCTGCTGTGCTGGAGAGCAAACCTTTGTAGTTTGCCTGAAAACGAAACAGATGCTGAACACTGATAACATCTCCTGGTCTGTGAGAGGCCAGCAGCTCCCAGGCTGTGCATGCACCACGCTAATGAGTGCCCAAAACACTGCACGGGCAACTTCTGTCAGCTGTCAGGTGACTGCCTGAGTAGGTCAATAACACAAACAGAAACGAGAGACAATATACAGAGTTTACAGTCTGCTGATCCAGCTAAGAGCACGCAAATGACTTATCACAGTTGTAAACTGTGTGCAGGCAGCACTAACCACTCTTCTAGCAGCAGGATACTGGTAACACAGCTAGAGCAGATAGTGAAAGCCACATAAATTAAAGTGTGTTTATAGGAAGCAGTCACTGCTTCAAAAGAAGCCTTGGGAAAGTAATCTGTACAGCAGGCCTAGCACATGACACAACCACAGCAACACTTAAAGGAGTTTCAGTTTAGATTTTTTTAAATCCTAAGCAGGACAAAACTCAAACTACTGAAGGACTTGGTAGAAGAAAATTTCTTACACAAAGAATTGCAAAGGCAGATATAAGCCACAAACAAGACATGTAACACACCACATGCAATCAAAAAAATAAAGCAGCAATGGGAACAAGGTGCCATCCAAAGCATGGATCTACACATGAGAATGATTCGGAAAACATCTGACATTTATACATTCAAAATATTAACTCCTTGGCATGAAGAGCAGGACTCAAATATTAATAGCAATTTAAACAAGTATTATATGCTTTGTGTCCCAAGACAACTTATTACAACTGCACAGGGAAGAATAATTACATTATTTGCAGAAAACAGTTTGATATGAAACCACACTTATTTAGAAGATATATGAAAAAAGTGATCTAAGAACATGAGGTTCCTGTTAAATTCCTTGTTTGAACTCAACGTTAGATACAGATCCTATTTAGGTTAACACAAATAGGCAAACCAGAACAAAACAGGGTTTCAGAATGAAAGGTACCACATGCTAAGATGTTTAAATCAAACCCTTTCCATCGGTAATTGGAACACGAGTTCAATCCTTGCAGAAGTTCAGTAGGTGTCAATGTGGCATTGGGGGATGTGGCTTAGGGGTGCCCTTGGCAGTCCTGGGTTAATAGTTGAACTCAATGATCTCAGAGATCTTTTCTAACCTTAGCAATTCTGTGAGGCAGAATGTAAAAGGAAAAAAAAATTTCTTCAATGCATTCCTAGAAGTGTTTTTAAACACTTCTAAAGGAAATCTGGACTCTTCCAGATTCCATGTACCAGGTTCTTCAACTACAGAAATTAAAATAATTCCAAGGCTGATTTAACAAAACTGTATTTGATATTGCTCTCTTCAAAAAGACGACTCTGATACGCACCATAGGAACCACAGATTTGTTGTGCCTTTAGGGGCACAATTCAAAACAAACCATTTCCTAGCTCGCTCTAACAATGGTGAATAAACACAGTATCACTTCCCTCTCACGGCTCCGAGCAGTTCCTCGGGCTGCTGCTCATTATTCCGCACAAACAGAGCAAAACCCCAAACCAACCATTCCCCTCTCGTTCTTTGGCCGCGACACGCTCCGTGCTTTGGTCCTGCGTATGGGCAGGTGCCGCTCCTCAAGCTCTGCTTGTGTTCGCACCTACCAGCGCAGCGCCAGGGGCTGTCCCGGCCGCAGGAGTTGGCCCGGCGATCTCCGCCCCCCTCCCGGGGTAGGCCCGGCACGACGATCTCCGCCCTCCTCCCGGGGCCGCCCCAAACCCCGCAATCCCCGGGCTGGGGGCGAAGAGCGGCCCCGTCCCGCTGCCCGTGACGTCACCGGGGCGGGGAGCGGGGCGGCCAATGGGGCGGGGCGGCCCCGCCCCCGCAGGTCCCGGATGTGTAAACAAACACCCCGATGAGCGTGGCGGGGGGGGCGGCCCCGCGCGGGCCCCGCGCCGCCGGGGAAACAGCGGCTGCTGCCGCGCGCGGGGACCCCGCGCCTGGCACGGGAGGAGCTGGGTCAGGAACCGGCCTCTCCGTCGCTCCTGCGGGGTTTTAAGGAACGAGCGACGTGAAGTACGCTCAAAGAGTCTTTGAGCGGCTGCACAAGCCGGACACAGCCTGTGCACGCAGTGTCAGTAACCTGCGGTGAGCTTACTCCAGCACGGAAAAACCTCCAAGTTAAAGACTGAGCCACAGGAGCCTCACTTGCACCTTTACATACCAGGAAATAACAGGAGAAAATAAGCGCGGAGAAAGTTACCGGCTGACAGCTCTCTCCCCGGCGGGAGGGAGCCGCTGGCCGTGCGCCTTTAAAGCCGTTTGCTCTCTCACGCCGGAGCACGAAGCCGCCGCTGCGGGTGACGCCGTCGCCTTTTCTGTCCCCCCCTGCAGCGATTCCAGCAGGACAGCGGCTCGTTCGCTCCTCTGGCCACCGGCACGGCCGCGCGGCCACTCGAGCGCGGCCCCGCGCTGCTCCGGCCGCCAGCTCCGTGCAGAACCCCGCGGCTCCCGGCCCCGCGCGGCGCGGGCGACAGCGCGGGGGGACCCCACCGGCTCCCGGCGCGCCGAGCTCAGCTTCGCCCCCCCTCAATTATGTAAACCGCCCTTACCCTCCCCGCACCGAGAAGGCTGCGGGCAGACAGCGCTGCCGTCATTTCCAGGCGCTATAAATAGCGCCCGAGCCTCCTCCCGCCAGCAAAGTTGCCTCGGCGGCCCCGCGCACACGGGAGACGGCGGCCCCCCCGGCCGGGGCGCAGCACGGGGCTCCTCTCGCAGCCGCCTTCCGCCCATACCCCCCCACCCTCTTCCTCCCCCGCTCCAAAAAAATAAATCCTAGTACAGGGAAGAGGGGCCGCTTCTCACCCGCTCGGTACTCACCGCTGCGCCGCGCCGACTCCGCTCCCAGCTCGGGTTCCGAGCAGCCCCCGGGCCCCTCTCCCTTAGGGGCCACGGGTAGGAGGGAAGGCGGGACCCCCGGTCCTTGCGCGGCGGGCAGCGAGAGCTCCGCGCCGGGCCTTCACCGAAAAACAAAGAGCGGGGATCAAGGGAGGGGGTTGGGACACGACGGCTTCCCTCGCCTCGAAGGTACCGTCTCGGCGACGGCCACCGGAGGGGGTCATAGACGGGGGCCGGGCGCGCGTGTGCCGCGCTGAGGGCCGAGGGGCGGCCGAGGCATCGTGCCGTGCCCGCGCCGTGCGCTCCGCCCGGGCTCCCGCTCCCGCCGCCGCCGCCTTTGTTTTGCTTTGCCCCGGCCCGGGGGCGCAGCGGCCGTTAAACGCGCTCCCCCCCCTGCCGCCAGCCAATCGCCGCGCGCCCTCGCGCCCGCGCGCGCGCGCCCCCCGCGCCCGGCCCCGCCCCTCTCGAGGGGGGGGCGGGCAGAAGTGGCGCGCGCCCCTCCCCTCCTTTGCCCCGGGCTTTGTGGAGGAGGGAACCTCCTCGGGGCGGGGGGCGGGGCCCGAGCGCGGGCGAGGGGGCGTGTTTGGGGCGTTGGCCCCGCCCCCACCGGCCGTTGTTGGCGCGGCGGGGCGGGGCGGGGGGGGCTGTGAGGGAGCGCGCGTGCCCCTGGGCGCGTGCCGCGAGCGCCCCCCTCCCCTTCAGCCCCGCGCGCCGCGGGAAACGGGCGGCGCGCGCTCGCTGAGGGCTGAGGCGGGCCCGGCCCTGAGGGGAGCAGCGGCGGGACAGGAACGGGAGCGGGAACGGAGCGAAGGCCAGGTAACAAAGCCCCTGACGGAGCAGCCGCCTCGGTTTACGGTTCCATCGCCGGGTGCGGTTTCCTCGTGAAAGCACTGCAGTCGGCTCTGTCGGATTGCTCAGTGTGCGTTTTCACACCAAAAAGCATTTGTCCTCCGCGTCTCTGCAGGAGTTAATAAAACCCTGGGAGGTGGCACTGGTCTGGTAAAACTAAAGGGCTATAGAGAAAACATTAAGGAAATAAAGGCCACTTAGAGGCTGAAAGACAAAGAGGATCGGTTGGAGCACTTGTTTCCAGACAGAGAGTTTGGAGAAAGCTCATTGCTTATAGAGAAAAAATACATAGGTTTTATGGTGTAAAACAACAATTTTCAACACTAGGGAGCCAAAACAACTCACATACAAGTAGTTTCCCAAGTATTTGAGTTCTGTTGGCAATGATCGTGTTTTTCTTTAAAAAGTCAATAAAAGCCACCCCCTGGTTTATTTTGGCTGTACCCTTCTTAATTCCACGGACAAAGAGTGTGGGGACACAAACTGCTGGAGCCTGTGACCAAGTTGTCATTTACACCGTACCCACAGGCAGGGCTCTGCTGTCCTGCTATGAGCACACATCATTAATAACATGTTTGCCACTTCCTTTTCCTGTCAGTCCTGACATATTTTTCTTTTTTCCATAATCTTTACCAAGTGATTTGTTTTCTTTACCCAAGAGCCTTTGGTACTTTGTGGAATACTAGAGAGAGGGAATCCATTACAGTTCAGTTAGTGGCATGGCTATGATAAATAAACCATGTGCTAGTTGATTTTATTCTGCCTATCTATTTTTAAATGTAATTCAAATGTCGATATTTTATTATAATGTAATTCAGGTGTTTTGTCATTTCCTTCTTAATGGCGAATTAACAGCCAGTCTGGAACAAAAAAGCCACACTTACAGAGTAAAGAAGAAATATGCTTTGTTGAAACAGCAGGGCACAAAAATCTATGAGAGTATTTCCAGTAGGGCTTTTATTGCAATTTTCCCATCGTCTTTCTAGCTCTGGTGCTGGTAGCTGTAGTCTTGTAAAAACAGGAGAAAGGTGATAATCCTTTGGATTTACTTAGCTACACTTCAGAGTACACCAAATCCGGTTTCCTAATCCAGTTTCCCACAAGATGAGTTATATGAGGCAAAAGCTAAAGATGAACAAGATAATAATTGGAACAGAAAAAGAAGCCAGAATGCAGCATAGTTTGATAGAGAAACTACATGGAATCTGATACAGTGCCCATTTAACAGTGAGCAGAAAGTCACGGTACAGGCAGTGCTGATCTCTGAATCGTCCTGCCAACCCACACAGGGAGGTGTCACTCCAGCTGAGCTGTGACTGACATGTCTGGACTGGCTGAAACCAGCAGTGGCAGTCATGACTTACATGGCCTGGCATCTCCCTGCTTCCCTGGGCTGCTGGCAAAGCTCCACACAGCCCACAGCCTAGGGACAGTGATGTCACAATGTCACACCTGCACAGCCCACAGCCTAGGGACAGTGATGTCACAATGTCACAGCTCTCAGCCTCGGGCCTAGGGACAGGGATGTCACAATGTCACACCTGCACTGACCTTCATGGCCGCACAGCTCCTCGTGCTGGAGTGCAGCAAATGCTGCCGTGCCCCGCACGCTCTCTGGAGTCCTGAGTGAGTTTGAACTCTGATTCACTACAAACTCAAAGTAGCACAAACCTGGCACTGGTGGTGCTGCTGTCTCTGCTTTTCTACAGCCATGAACACAACATCAGGGTTCTCACTTCCACTTCCCTCAAGAGACCTGCTGCAATCTTGGTTTAGGTGATAGGAACTGACCAGGTTATACAGAATTGAGGATTAAAGTTTACATGATGAATAAAAACAAGCAGCAATCCAGTGCAGAATGTAGAAATGACTCTCCTTTTCAGAGATGACAAGATGGACAAGGGGGAGAAAGAAGTGTCTGTCATTCAGCAAGGACAGCAAAGGATCCTGAAAGCTGAACAGTGTTTCCATTGTTTTAACACAAGCTCCGCTTCTCTGCTGAAAGATCCAAATGACAAGGACACTGAGGGTTTCTTTCTCTTCGCTGTTTGTTTCCCTAGTAACAAATACACAAGCTGCACTGTTAGATACCGTCCTTTCATCCTTTTCTCTTTCTTTTTTTTTTTTTTTGAAGATAAAGACATGTCAAGGATGTAGTCAGTGGTAGCAGGTTAAGGTTGCTTGTATGAATGATCCTCCAATGCAGCACAATGCACTTGAGGTCACTGCGTGTAGTCAGTGGCTGAGACAGTGAAATAACTTGAAAGACATGGAGGAAATGATGGAAGTAGTGATGCATCTCAATGGTTGCATCATTACTTCCTTTGCTTCTTTAGGATATGTTAAGTTTCAAAAGTTTGGAGACTTTAACCAAATTTAAAAATCAATTGGTCTTACAATTTCAAACACTAGACTCTCTGTGTTAGGCTGAAAGAAAACCACTGAAAGAATTAAGGACTTTTTTTAAAAAGGTAATTTAACTACTTTCCTATATGTTTGCCATAAATGCAAGCTTAGTAATGAAAACCAAAAAATCTGATCTTGTGTTCTCAGTTACTCAGGTTTGTAACATTGTGTTCTCCAAAGTTCTCCAAGGAAAAGAAAAATGCATAATTTTTCTTGGGACATGGCAGCAGCTGGTCTAAGTAGTGTAATGTAGAAATAACTGACAAAATTCATATCAAACTTCTTATTATATAATATGAAATTACAACATTATGCATGAATTGTAAACCAGCTTGTTGCTAGGACATGAGTTACACTGGCATTTGTCACAGTGTATTTTAGTTACTTGTCTGGAACTGCCTGTGTGGAGAGGTATTTTAGGTGAACAAATACATTCCTCTCATTTGGGATGCTTTCTGAAATCAGTACAACTATTAAATTGTACCACTTAGGCCAACACAAAATCTGCAAGTCCCAAAAAGAGGCAGAGAAGCTGCATCTCCAGTGGATCAGGGAATCCAAAGCAGTGGGATCAGCTGTCCTGAAACACTTTGATGTCTCAAGCTTTCATCAAGTGGAGAACAGGCAAAGGAATCTGTTTGGGGGCTATGAATCAAACAAATCTGTGTCATGATTTTTATGTGATGTAGACATCTGCTCATATCCATATAAATGGATGTGGTGTGTAAAAAAGTCAGAATCACCCAGAGCTCCAGATCCCTAATTTAGGAGAATATATGTTCTCTCTGTCAGAGGGCTGAAATACACACCACCACTGGAGGGCAATTTGTCATCTGCAAAATCTGCATTGCCCTGTTAATGCCCACCATCACTGTGGAAGGTCTACTTTATCTCTTGTGTGACTTTTGAAATAGCAAAACCAGATGTTAATTAAACTTCTGTAATATTCAGACTGGCAGATATACAAGTGTCCTACCTGGAGTAGAGAGGTTCATCAGGGAATTAGCCAGCCACATGCCCTTCAAGCACCAGCATGCTTTAGTAGCTAGGTTAAATTTTATGATCCTTTCCCCCTGAATTTGTTTTTAAATTATTTAACATCAAGTTTCAGTAGAATATCTTGACCTTTCTCTACACAATAACAGTAAGTTCTGTTTTATACTTCTTTTAGTCTTTAAACAAAAATATTAGGCCCACAAAAGAATCATCATGCTATGAGCACAGTAATGAAAAGGGTGATCATAAGAACAAGTGACAGCTGTATTTATTGTTGAAATGTTTTTTGTACTAACCAAGCTGTGGAGAGATGAAGTTTTGTCTGTCCTCAAAAGCAGAGGCAACTTCAGAGACTGTGACCAGGCTGTGTAAGTGAGGAAACCTGGTTGTATCTCCTTTTCCTTATGGCTTTGCTTGTTGGCTTTGTGAAAGTCTGTCAGGAGTCTCAAGAGCAGAACAGACAATTGCAGTGTGTGAATACCTGTGTGTGTCTCTAAAACTTACAACACTGTCTTTCTAATGGGAGAATTTGTAACTGTTCCATTTGTGTTTATATCTGTCCCAATCAATTACAACCTGTGGAACAGCAGGATTCACAGACCATGTCTGTTAGTTCTGTAACTTCCCCTCATCTCTGGAAAAGAAGCAGAAGTTCTTTTAAGCTATCTCAGGCTCCTTTGCAAGGGGAGATGTCTAGATCACCTCCAGAGCCTGAAAAGACAGAAGTGTTCCAACCCCTCCCTGACAGTGTCTGTGTGATTGTGAATGCAGAAAGGGCTGCAGGCTGTGCCTCCAGCATGAAACATTGAGACTGTAGACAAGGAGCAGACTGCATTTAACCAGGAGACTGGAAACAGCATCATCAGCTGTGCAGCTGTTCACTCCTGGTAAGTAAATTACACAGCACAGTGGAATATTTAGCATGCAAACAGGAGTGGCAGCACAGTAACCAGCAAAACAACACATAGAAACTAATTGCACTTGATGAGTACCATAGCATTTAATTACAAAATCAGATGCTAGCAGGGATTGTCTGTATTTAGCAGGAGAGAAAGCAGATGTGTTTTTGTGAGTGAAAAGGAAAAGGTAGTAGAATGAAGAGA